TAGCTTGCTTTGCCTTTTGGTCTTGCCCCTTGCCTGCTCTCTGTGGAGCTGGGCTGTGGGAGTGGAGGCCCTGCAGCCCAAACACTCCCAGTTGGTATTCTGGGGCCTATGTGCCTCCTGAGGTAGAGGCAGGGTGACCCAACTCTGAAGCCACTGGGGAGCATTTGCGACATGGGGCTGTGTTGTTTAAACAGCTTCGACAGTGTCGCCAGCCTCGGCTCTCCCCCAGGAAGCCAAGGGCCAGCTGGGGCGCAGTGCCCTGTGCCTTCCAGGCTTGGGGGGCTGCTTTAGGCTGTGAGCTGTGAGGCTGTGGGGAACAGAGAGGGCCTTGGAGAAAGCCCAGCAGCAGCTCAGCAAAAGCCACAGATGTAGCAGGAGGTTAGCCTTTGAATTTCTTGGTCCCTGGGGCCCATTTTCAGTGGCAGTCACCTGTAAGACCATGGTTACTCCCAGCAATTACAGGCCCATATTTAGCTGTGGGTGGGAAGGGCTGAGGCTTTCTGCCTTTCTCCAGAAAGGCAGATTTTTCTCCTCTGCTGAGGGGATTCTTTTTTGTTTGTTTTTGAGACAGAGTCTCATTATGTCACCTTTGATAGAGTGCCGTGACATCACAGCTCACAGCAACCTCAAACTCTTGGGCTTAAGTGAGTCTCTTGCCTCAGCCTCCCAAGTAGCTGGGACTACAGGCATCTGCCACAATGCCCGGCTATTTTTTTGTCATTGTTGTTAGGCAGGCCCGGACCAGGTTCGAACCCCCCAGCCCCAGTATATGGGGGCTGGTGCCCTAACCACTGAGCTTATGGGTGCTGAGCCTGCTGAGTGGATTCTTGGCACAACAGAATTCTGCAGGTGGCTCATTGTCAGAGTGGCTCTGCAAACATGGTTTGAATTTCTTTGAGTGATGTTTCGAAACTGAGCCTTCTGGGGAAAAGGGCAGGGGGGTTGAGCTAACCACTCCTGAGAAGCACAGGAAGGAAGGCAGGGTGCTAGGGAGGGGACACATCTAAGAATGTCACCTGCCCAGAGTCCCTGCTGAACCAAGTGCATCTCAAAGTAGAAAGTGCAGGTAGAGAAAATGAATTTTGCTGAGAATTGTTCCTCAGCACAGCATTCTGGCAACTCAGATGGAGCACGGAGTTTTCAAAGGAGTGCGAGTTTGTCTCACTTTGTTGCCCTCAGTAGAGTGCCATGGCGTCATCGCTCACAGAAACCTCAAACTCCTGGGCGCAAGAGATTCTCTAACCTCAGCCTCCAGAGTAGCTGGGACTACAGGTACCACCACAACACCCGGCTATTTTTGGAGACAAGGTCTCACTCTGCCTCAGGCTGGTCTTGAACCTGTGAACTCAGGAAATCCACCCTCCTCTGCCTCCCAAAGTGCTATGATTACAGGCACGAGCCACCATGCCTGGCCTTGAGTGCAACATCTTGGGGGACTTTGAAGTCACCTTCCCTGTCCATTTTCACCTTCCCTGTTCCAATTAAAGACTTGCCCAGTCTGCCAATGACTGACAGAAAAAAAAAAAAATTTAGAGATTACAGATTAAGTACTGAGAAATTCTTTTTTTTTTTTTGCAGTTTTTGGCTGGGGCCAGGTTTGAACCCACCACCTCCAGTATATGGGACCAGGACCCTACTCCTTTGAGCCACAGGCGCTGCCCGGTACTGAGAAATTTTTAAGACGTTTACATTTCACCTTGTTTACAAATCCTTGGGAGAGGAATTTCTCCCAGGAATGTAAGCTTGCCTGTCTTTCCTCTAAATAGATTGGTGGTATTTATAATAATTTTTTAATTTTTTTTTAATTTTTTTTGAGACAGAGTCTCACTATGTCACCATCCATAGAGCGTTGTGGCGTCACAGCTCACAGCAACCTCCAACTCTTGGGCTTAAGTGATTCTCTTGCCTCTGCCTCCCGAGTAGTTGGACTATAGGCGCCTAACCCTAACCCTAACCCACCACAATGCCCAGCTATTTTTTGTTGCAGTTGTCATTGTTGTTTAGCTGGCCTAGGCTGGGTTCAAACTTGCCGGCCTCAGTGTATGCGGCTCATGCCATAACCGCTGTGCTACGAGTGCCAAGGATTGGTGGTATTTAACAAGACTTAAATCATGGATTTGTCACTCGAAATTTGGCCCTGAAGATGTTAAACTTCGAAGTAGATGTTTAGTCCAGGTGTAGTGTTTAGCAGTCTCTGTGTTTGTCTCTGGCAGGTTTGGTCAAAGTTTCCATCAACTTCTCTCCATTAATTTCTATTTTCTCTGATCAGTGGATTTTCCTGGAGCCCCCACCTTAGGTGCCCAAGGTCTTTGAGGTCGCCTCATTCACTCTACCTTTTGTTGTCCAGGGAAGCGGGAAATGGGAGGCACGTCTCTGCAGGTAAGATTGTGCTCTGGCATCTCAGGAATCTTCAGTCTGAGCTCGGACCAGTTGGACTTTCCAGAGGGTCATGTTCTGCCTCACAGGCCTTCTGCCCTAATGATTCACACAACTGCCTCAACATTCCTCTGGGGCCAGGATTTTTCCAGGCCTCCTTCTAGGGAGTCCAGATCAAGGTTTAAACACAGAGGTCCTGGCATCAGACTGACTACATCTGTAGACCAGGCTCACACTTCAGGTGTGAGATGGCCTCAGTGTTCTCATCTATAAAGTAGTAATAATCACAGCGCCTTAGAGATTTTGCAAGCATAGTTTAGGTCTGGCAGGTGGTTTATGCTCATCAAATTTTTTTTTTGAGACACTCTTACTTTGTCGCCCTTGATAGGGTCACAGCTCACAGCAACCTCAAACTCTTGGACTTAAGCTATTCTCTTGCCTCAGCCTCCCGAGTAGCGGGGACTGTAGGTACACGCCACAATTCCCAGCTATGTTTTTGAGAAGGGTTCTCGCTCTTGCTGAGGCTGGTCTAAAACTTGTGAGCTCAGGCAATCCACCCACCATGGCCTCCCAAGTGCTGGGATTAAAGCGTGAGCCATGGCACCCAGCCTATGGTCACTAAATTTTAACTGTTATAATTAGAGTGCCGGGATAGGAGGTACACAACTCTAGTTGATCACTTTCGTTACTGATGCTCTTGTTTGAGGAGCCAGTTGAGGCTGATGGTAGGAAACAGGCTTCTAGTTTATCAGAGCAAAGAATCTGTTCCAGTAATTATGAGCCCACAACATTTATTATGGGCAAAAAACCCACTGAGGGTGGATTCTACTGCATGTGTGAGATAAAAGGTGATCTCACTGCAATCATTTATTTATTTATTTATTTTTGAGACGGAGCTTCAAGCCATCCCCCTGGGTAGAGTGCCATGGCATCACGCTCACAGCAACCTCCAACTCCTGAGCTCAAGCGAGTCTCCTGCCTCAGCCTCCCAAGTAGCT